CGAGCTCCTCTACGATGAGCCAGCTTTCAAGGTCGGGCTTCGTCTTTCGAGTCTGCTTGTGACAGATGCCAAGTCCTTGTACGACTGCGTAGTTGCTGAGAATCCGAATCTTTCGGACAAGAGGAGTCTTGTAAATATTCGTAGCATCCAGGAAACTGTGACTCCTCAACAGATCCATTGGGTCCCGACAGAGCTGATGCGGGCGGATGCGCTCACTAAGCTTGACAGCGCTCTTCTTGTGGAGTTCACCAAGTGGTTGCTGAAGCCCCTCATTCAACTCCGAGAGATGCGTTTTGGGCAAAAGAAAAACTATACCAGTGTGAATCTTGAGCATTCGACCTCTTAACTTTGCTGCCGATTTGCCCAAAACCCGTAGAGTGCACCTGAGCCCTTTACTTGCGTTTTGCATGCAGTTCCTGGAAAAGTGCGCGCGCTGCAGAGCATTCGCCTAGACAGATTCTTCTTGCACAGTTTGCTGTCAGAGTGCAAACACGGGTTCGCACCTCGGTCTTTGCTCCGAGATGCTTAGACTTGAAGAGATCCGGGTGCAGTCGCTCCCATTGAAGGTGCAGGATGGTTGTGCAAGGAAGGTGGTGCTTGTGCAAGCAGGGTGGGCCTCATATTAGGCTCACGGTCAAAGGCTGTTTTGTCTTCCCGATGAAAAAGCCTGCGCTGCAAGGTGCCTGGCTTTCACCTTGAATCAGGGCCTGCGCATGTATCAATTCAGCTGTTTCCTTACCGGCGGCAGCCCAGATGTATTACCCACATCCGAAGCTTCACACACTATGTTGAAGTGCGCATGATCATAGATTAGTGGGGATGTTAATGGCCTCAGCTTCAGGACTGCATACCGGAATCTCTCTCTCTTGCCAACTCCAGTGGCAAACAGCAGGATAGGCATTCATGGCATCGAAGAGTTCCAGTTCATGCGGGATGCAGATGTTTTGCAGGCCGCAGCACGGGATGCAAATTTTGCTCCAGGAATGGTTGCCTTGAATTTATTGTCAGGGCAGCCGCTACTTTGGTAGGTCTGTACGCCATTCGGACCGCTCTGCAAGGTCTGCTTTTCATTCTGAGTTGAGTGGTTGATGGTTGCACACCGTAATGGAGGCAGGACACTAGCCTGACCCAACACATTTGCTGCATGGCGCACAGAAGATTGAGTTTCCAAGAGAAATATGTAGCCCTCGGGAACAGCTTGCTTACAGGGCTCTGCGGGTCGTTGACTTCTCTCTGTGATAGCAAAAATCTTTCTGCTACAAGCAAGAATCAAAGAAGAAGGGTTCCTTCGGAACCGTGCCTCCGGACAAAAGTCCCGCTGTCTTGTTCGAACTTAGGGTGTGTGACAGGTCATCCACCCTGCAGCAAAAGGCGGTGGCACAGCTGGTTGCTTAGTGACTGCACGCGATATCCTTTTACTTTTTGGTGACCTTGTTTCAGAAACAATCTCTTGACGGCGTGGAAAAGGCTTTGTAGCAGGATTGTCCAGGTTCTTAGCCTCTCCAAGAATGGCTGCTCCTGCAGTTCGTGTCCCCTTGAGTCTTGTCACCTGCAGCCCGGCAGACAGTCCCTTGCCTTTAGCCTGTGCATCCCAATAAGTGAAACGACCAGCCAAGGCCTCCAGCACCTAGGCATGCCGAGGCACCCAGCGCAACCCCTAATGTAAAACCATAGAACCCAAGACCGCACACACTATGCTTGGGAGCTCTTGAGGTCCATGGGCCAGACTCTGAAGCGGCTGGAAAGCACCTTGGCAACACAAAGGTAGGGAGGTGTTTCACTCTTGGGGTCTTGGTTTGTGGAGGGTCGATGTCAAGAGGCTGCCCACCAGTTGTCCCGCGGAATCCCCCGGTGCGGTCAACGTCACACAACTCTTGTTCTGCGATGGAACATCCTTATCATCAAGCGACATGTCTTGCGCACATGGTTAGGGACATTGGCGGGACGTAGGCATGTCTCGCATCACGAGTTTACGAACATGATATGTAATCCTTTGGAAACGATGCCAGGTGACCGACTTTGTGATGCGAAAGCGATTCTTGTGGCAGGGTTCCAACATTGACAAACGTATTGTCATTCTTTGAAAATCCGCAGAGAGGATTCTGAACGTAGTCCTATGTCCGCAAGACTGGCCTAAAGCCCGTGCAACTGACATGAGGAGTATCTCTTGT